GCACTCACTTAAATGGCGGAACTTCGCGGACGAGGTCTCTGCAGCTTCCTACCCCGCACTTCATGGGAACAACTTCACAACCAGCGGCAGCAGCTTTCCGTGTTCCACGATGAATTTTGGCGTGATATCCGAGTTCCATCTCAACGTTCACCGTGAAAAATTAGGTTCTGATGCCCGCAAAGTCTCACCCTTTTCCTTGATCCCCACTTGTCACTTCCAGGGCATAGACTCACAGTCTCAGCGACCACAGTCTCAGAACAACCCCGGACTGCCAAACTACTGTGGTGAAAGGAGACCAACCAACTCGGACAGGCAGACTATACGGCGTCGCTGCAGCACAACCAAACTCATTCTGACATGCTGGAAGTGTACCAGGGGACAGACGGAAAGCAGTTTTTTTTAATCCGAAGTGGGATTCACGACTGCTCTCAAGCCCGCTTTCATTTTTTAAAGTACCTTCACATCTTTCCCATAGGAGCCAATGCAGCCAATCAGCGGAACTCCCTATGGACCACCCCTTTATTAAGAGACCAATCAGGAGAGGGTCTGTGTTTCCCATTGTGTATAGCCAATTAACTCTTGCTCATTTATGACTGACAAGGGCACAGCCAACCAGAGTAGCTGAGGCTGGTTAATTCGGTTAGCCAGTCAACATCTGGATCTTGGTCACCACGCCAGTTTCCTCGGTGCCTGGAATATAAGGCTTGGATCTATGAGAAACGGTCAAACTGGAGGTCCAAGCTGCAGAATGGTAGCGCAAGTGGCAAGGTAGTATCTCCCCAAGTATCCAAAGAGGCCGGCCTTAACCGGAAATGAATCTGTAGTTTAGAAAATGCTGGCTGTGAAAGCACCTCTCTGGTAATATAGCTCTGTTACCAGGCTAATCACTTCAATTTACCCCAAAGTCAGGTTAAAAATAAAAACCCTGGCCTGGCGCGGTGGCGCAAGTGGTTAAAGGTCCTCGCCTTGCACGCCCGGGATCCCATATGGGCGCCCGTTCTAATCCCGGCAGCCCCGCTTCCCACCCAGCTCCCTGCCTGTGGCCTGGGAAAGCAGTCGAGGACGGCCCAAAGCTTTGGGCATAGTATCGGCCGGTTGCGCTCACTTGGGGAGTGAATCATCGGACGGAAGATCTTCCTCTCTGTCTCTCCTCTCTGTATATCCGCCTTTCCACTAAAAAAATAATAAAAATAAATCTTTAAAAAAATAAAAAATAAAAACCCTAAGAACATCTAGGGATATTCAGAAATTTCGATTAAGAATGACGGAGCTTGTTTGTACTGGTGCCATGGTGTAGTACATTAATCCTCCACCTGCATTATCAGTATCCCATGGTAGTGGGGATCCTAAGCTGCAACAACAGATTCTGCCTCTAGCATGATCAAATTAAATACATGGGAAAACTTCTAAAAATCTCACAGTGATATTATAGCTATATGAGAAAATGAAAATTAAATCTACCAAATATCATGTTCACCACTCTGAGTGATCATCAAATGCTTACATTTTTGCCATTGTTGGAAAGAAACTTTTCATGGGGAAACAAAAATTTATTCAATTTATGGCAGAAAAAAAAATTCTCATTTTCTGTTGGTAGAAAACTAAACTGTTCTCTTTGGGAAAGCAATTTATCTGAATCCATCAAAATGCAAAATGTATATGCCCTTTGACCCAGCAATTCCTTCCCCCCAAATCGATTCTACAGAAATACTCAAACATTTTATATAGCATTATTTCTAATAGCGAATGATGGGAGGCACATTTCTATTAGTAGGTGAAATGTTACATAGCTATTTTCTAAAATGGGGTCAATTTCCATGTGTTAATGGAACAAGTTCACCACATACTGCAAAATGAAAACTTTTAAATTGCACAATAGCACAGATATCCTATTTCATTTTTTAAAAACTGTATCCTGGGTGTGTGGGCATTCCACATGTGTAAATAAAGTCTAGGGAGATACACATCAAACTAAAGGTTACTTTTGGAGAATGGTAGTAACGTTTAGGACTCAAGGAGAAATCATACATTTTAAAATTTATGTATATGTTTTATTTGAATTGTGTCAACTAACTACTTTTGAATTTTTAACCACAATAATTGCATTTTTAAGCACGTTTTAACAAAACAGGCACTTACATAATCAAAACCATCAACAAAGTCATAATTTATATATTCCACACAAGAGATTTCATTTAAAATTTTCATATAGTGTGTAACATGGCACAGCAGATTGGGTACTGGTTTGAGTCTTCGCTGCTCCACTTCCACTTCTTTTTAAAAAATTTTTCATATTATTTATTTATTTTCATTGGAAAGGCAGATTTTTACAGAAAAAAAAAAGGGAGACAGAAAGCTCTTCCATCAAATGCTTTACTCCCCAAATAGCTACAACATCCAGAGCTGAGCCAATCCAAAACCAGGAGCCAGGAGCTTCTTCTAGGTCTCCCACATGGATGCAGGGTGCCAAGACTTGGGCTGTCCCCCTGCTGGAGTTGGACACATTGGACCCATTTGGAGTTCCAGTCCCCTGGCTTCAGGTTGCCCCAGCTCTAGCCTCTGCAATCGTTTGGGGAAGTGAACTAGCAGACAGGAGAGTTCTCCATATCTATTCCTCTCTGTATCTCTGCCTTTCAAATAAACAAATAAATCTTATAAGATAAATTTTTCATCTAGAAGGCCTAAGATAAAATTGGAACAAATATAAATCAACTCAACACTAAATTTCAGAGGGGTCCTCATGATTTGATGCTATGGGTAAACAAACTCTAGCTAGGATAAGTTGAAGTGGTTCTATAAAACTAACTATACTATAGTAAATTCCATAATATTCAGGGAAACTTGGGCTTTCACTTTTCTTTACATTTAAATTTATTTTTAAAGGTTTGTTATCTAGGTGGCAGGGGCTTTTAACTATTTTTGTGGCATAACCTCTGAGGTTTATTTGACTTCTTGCCAAAAGTGCAAAATCATAAGACTCAGTGGCTGAATCCTTGCCTTGCATGCACCAGAATCCCTGGCTGCTCCACTTCTGATCCAGCTCCCTGCTTGGGGTCTGGGAAAGCAGTGGAGGACGGCCCAAGTGCTTGGGTCTCAAGAAGAAGCTCCTGGCTCCTGGCTCCTAACTTTGGCTTCTGGCTTCTGATTGGCTCAGCTCCAGCCACTGAGGCCACATGAGCAGTGAACCAGTGGATGGAAGGTCTTTTTCTCTGTGCCTCCTTCTCTCTGTAAATTGCCTTTCTAACAAAAACAAATATATTCTTTAAAAAGATAAAGGGTTAAAAGGAGCTACATGGAAAAATAAGAATTGTTATAGTCAAAGAAAGGAATATCAGAGCTGACTCTTCAGTCTTCAAGGATATGAAGAAATACGCATTTTAGTGAGCAGCTGGTCTATACTTGCATGGCAGAAAATAATTTCACTTAAATTACTATAACATATTTCAACACTGTAGTGTGTCCCCTAGGATACCATCAAACTGAAACTACCAACAAGCCAGAATGTTGTCCATTTCTCCTACTTTTACAAGGCTTTCTCAGACTGGGTCAAAGAGTAGATAAGGCATCTTAGGAATGTGAAGATTTTTACTTCTTTTGGGTGTAGCTGTGTTAACATTTTTGTTGGCTTCTGTCTCCCAGGCGCCCATATAAGGTTATTTATATTTTGTGCTATGGATAAAGGGGACTGATTCGTAGCAAACATCCAGACACTTATACATATGGAAACTTGAATTTTCTATGGAAGTACACTTCTACTCAGTGTAGATGAGTAAGACTATGATTTAGGACTCTTCAGGGATCTCATTACTGCACTAAAATGGCCAATTTACCTAGCCTGATACATGAAAAAGAAAAGGAGATAAAGATAAGAAATGTGCCTGAACCATTGATCTTACTTTGCCTCTACAGTTTTCCTGTCTTATAGAGATATCTCTTGTCTAAGGTCTTTGGAAAAAAAGAAGGTAATTGTATTTTACTTGCACCATGACCACCCAAAACCACTTCAGATTTTAGCATACAGATGGGCACACAGATTATTAACTAGCATTTGTTAAATGAGAGTCACCTACCCCAAATTTCCTGAATACTTTATTTTTCAGCTGCTTTTTCTAATTATTCTCTGATTTATTCTGACACTGCTGCTGCTGAAGTTTGCATCTCTCTTTACTCTTCCTTTCCCTTATGTTAAAGAAAAGCCTATTCTTCCTTGACCTCTCAGATATGTTCAATCATCTCATTCTTCAACTCCCAAACATTGAGTTTAATCCCTACTCTCTTACTTCAAACCAAATACCAGTTAATTCCCTCATGTTTTGAACACAGTGCTTTCTATACCTTCCTCATATTGACCTACACTAAAACTAGCTTTGACTTTCCACAAGACCTCCCCTCACTCCAAGCTTTCCCCATGCCCATTCTACACAGGAAATCCATTTCAGCACACACTGGGGAGATGAAAAGACCTGGCTATCAAAAGTTCTCACAGTTCATCCATCTTTATATCTGCACCAAATCTATCTTTCTATAATTTGTCTCAAGTGAAGGAAAAAGCCATGGAAGATAAGCTTTGTTGGTAGTTATGTGATTGTGTTGGAGTATGAGCACATGTGTTTATATAGGCATATTACCTATGCGCACGCGCGCACACACACACACACACACACACACACACACACACACACACATCTATACAAATATTCTCTCCAAATTAGCAGAAACCCACAAGCTTAAAACCAAATCTGCCAAATATTACCCAAACCACTGTTATTCAGCCTATGACTATTTCCTGCAAACAGATGCATTAGCTCTGTGACAAAATCAGTTGTGAATTGCAAGGAGAACAGGTAAATATTGCTACTGACAGGATTCTGCTTTTCAAAAAGTTAAATGCAAAGCTTACTTCAGGACATTGGCCATGTTGTATGATTTCTGCACAATACCCAGCACACTCAAGATTCTACAAAATAGTCGATTTACAAGTCACACAGAAAAACAGAGGCTTGCTTCACAGTGGTTTAATATGAACAGAGTTGAATATGACATTGACAGAAGAATGAACAGTTTGCTGAATAAAAGCCCCAAGTCAGGATATATACACAGCAGAAATGGGGCCTCAGACTCTCAGCACTTGTGCACAATGAAAAGAAGGAACCTTTTAAAAAAAGCCAGTAACAGAGGGTACAAATCAAAAAGGCAGCAACAACATCAACATTGGCGAGGTGGGAAAGCAACCAGAGCCTCTCCCTAGGGGCAACTCAGCCCCTGGCACAGGCTCAGCAACTGGAGGATTTATCTCAGGGAACATCAACATTTAGATGGACCTCAAATCTCATGTCAAAATCCAATCCTAATCTCTCTGATTAGGGTCCCGTCAAACTCAGTAATCTTTTTTTTTTTTCCAAAGTCCTGTAGAGAAAATTCCAATCCTTCCATGGTAGGGTGTCTAAGCAAAGAGTCCCCACCTTTCATCTGGCATCAGAGTGAACTTGCTCTTATCCCACCAGTTGGGAGAGACTATCAGGCCCCAGCAAACAAACCACGATCTCCTAGACAGAAACCCAGGATAGTTGCCAGCATCAAGAAGCTGTTCCAGACTCTGAGATTCAGGAAACCCATACCTAGCTGCTATCCCTAGTTCAGCTTCTGGGAAGAATGTTGATAGTTCCATGGGAAACAAGTGCAGGAAGTTCAATAACCCTGTGACCAAGCTGGGGAGGGCAGCAACAACTCCTGTCCCTGAGCCCCATTCAACAGCTACAAAGTGCTTAGAAGTCAGAGACTACGTGGCCTGTGTGCTTCTGCCCTGCGGCAGCACTAAATGAAATGGGAGGAAGGCAGAATGGAAGGAAGAGAGAGATGATGCTCTTCCCTACCACTGGGAGGAACCTGGAACATGATCCACTCCCACCCTCTGGGAGTTATCTGGCAGTGGTGAGTTACCCCCACCCCTCAAGCCACCAAACCTACAAAGCTAACTCGAAAGTAGCATGGGCTTGGAGAGGGAGAACTGCTGGCCCATACCGACTCACCTACTGGTGAGCAAAAATAGGCAGAGTGAGGAACCATAAAGGGAGAGGGGCTAGGCAATAGGAACTCCCCTACTGCCCTATGGCTTTCTTCTGACTCTGAAGCAGCCATGGTTGCGGGTCTCGAAAACCCAAACACCTTGCTTCACACAGCAGACTGCTTGGACTCTAGGAAGATTACTGCCATGAAAAGCAACAAGGGGAAAAGGGAAAGCAACAGAACAAACTATTGAGAAAACAGGGAGCAGGCCTAGAGAAAACAAGGAGAGCCTTTGGGCCTCTACCACCTTCCCAGAAAGGAAAAAAGTTCATGCAGGTGGGAAAGGCAGGGATTTTCCCTGCTCAGCGTTCCTGGTTAAACCTAAGAGTAACAAAAATCCCCTGGACTTGCAGCATCAATACGTATCCAAGTATTTCGCCAGCACAAGCCCCACCCCCCCGCCCACCCTCCCACCAAGTTTAGCCTCTGGCATGTGTAAATGCCCAAGAAATTGCCTTTCAGTCCAATCCCACCACCCACCCACCCCCAACCCCAAGCAAAGGGCATCTGCTTTGGGTCCCCACCTTTCCTCAGAGAAGAGGATCCCAGCAGAGTGCCCATATGATGTAGTCAGGTATAAAGGAGCACAATGCCAGACAGTCTATCGGGCCAGGGGATGGGCAGCCAACTTCAGATCAGAGAGAGAGGGGGTGGGGCTTAGTGTAAAAACCAATGTCATTTCAGCAGGAAAGTAGAGGGCGAGTGGCGAGAGGAGCTTCTACTGGCGCACCTTCCCGGGGACGTAGTTCCTATCAATCGCTTCTTCCTGCAGGAACATGTGTAGGCAGCGTTCATTCTGAGCCAGTGGGTGCCCAGCAATTCTACAAAGAGATCAAGATGGTTATCAGTAGTATTGAGGATCACAGAGAACTAGCAGATGAACAGTAGTAAGGATGGGGAAAGAAGGGCAAGGTTAGCCCTCAAGGCTCAAAAACCAATGGAGGGCAGCTACCGCTGAGCACCAACCCAACCCCATTATAGAGGAGAAAGGGGACAGAGAGGCAAGGTAGAGAAATTCCTGGATGCTACCAATAAATAGTGCTTTACATATTCCCTGACATATGGGATCAGAAATCTGCACAAAGGAATGGAGTTCTACTGTCCTGGTCAGCCTACTGCACAATACCCACTACAAAAGACAGGGAGACAAAACATGGAAAGACTGTGACAGCAAAATGGTAAAAGGAGCGAGCACGGTCCCACATGTGGCTTACTTATTAATAAACTGTTCAAGGCCTTGCCTCCTTTCTTCAATGAAAGACTCTTCAAATATCCCTTCATCTCCTCGGAAAGGGAGCTGCCGCTTCAAGGCTTTCCCAGGCAGTGGTGGTACTACAATCTGTAGGCAGATGTAAAATATCAGCCGCGTAGGAGAGGGACAGACAGGAAATCAGACAGCAAAGCATGGCATGCCTCGTGTCTTATTAGGTACAGGGTACATCCTGTCCCACAGCCAGCATCTTGCAGGGTCTATAACTGGAAGCACAATCAGGATGGCTCAGATTAATCCGACTTGCCTCTTGTGGGAGGACAAATTTGCCATCCCAGAAGGAAACAAACTCCAAATCGTTCTCACCCTCCTTAACAATCCACCATCATTTAAAAATGGAGGTAGAAATAAATAAATAAATAAATAAATAAATAAAATGGAGGTAGGCCTTTCCTGATACTATCCGTTCCATTTCTATAGGAGCTAAATTGCATGATTTTACTAATAATCTAATGCGCACCTTCTCCATTCTTTCTAGATTTTACAGAATGCGATCTTACTTCTCCAAGGGTCCCACAACCAAGGAATGAGACCATACCTTACTATCACGCTCCAGCTCATTTTTCAGCCACTCAAAGTCACTGTAGCGCCGCCGTACACAAGACTCCTTCAGCTTGAAGATAGGCAGATTGGTCTACAGCGGAGGAAGAATTCAAGCAGAGAGTTGGAGATGGTAATGTTCAACCTGTGGTGGCTCCCTGTCAAAACAGCTTGGACAGGACCCAGTGAAGAAACAGCTCCTATGGACCATATTCCGACAGCCCTATCAAAACAACCTTTACCATGTCCAACTTTGTCACAGCAAGTGATGAAAAGTCCCTTGCTCTTTAGAATTTATCGTATAAATACACTTGCCGCGGCATATAAACATGAATAAATAAGAGTTTTAGGGGCTGGTGCAATGTAATAGTAGGCTAGGTCTCAACCTGAAGTGCCAACATCCCATATGAGTATCAGTTCATGTCCTGAATGTTCCACTTCTAAGCCAGTTCCGGCCTTATGACCTTGGAAAGCAGCAGTGGATGGTCCAAGCCCTTAGGCTCCTAAATTTACATCAGAGACCTGGAAGAAGCTCCTGGCTCCTGACTTCTTTAGAATGGCCCAGCTCCAGAACCAGGCTGGACTGCAACACCCATTGGTTCCAGTGGAAGACAGAGGTGGAAACAGAACCGACCCAGCAATTGCAACCACCAGCTGATTGGGGCGAAGGGCTGTACCAGGCCCTGTACTTGCAAGTACACACAAGAACCTGGTCTGGGTTCACCTCAGACAAAGTTTCTTTAGGGATCCCCCTAATTGAACCGCTGGACTCAGATCCCTAACCATGAAAAGACACAGGACAGAACAACAGTCAACTACCCCAGCCATATGTTGGCAGTGAAAAACAGGGCAAATGGAGACTCTAAGATGGACTATGTCAATCAGAGGATTCCTCAGTGACCTCATTGTTCTTGGAATGGCAAGATTGGCAGCAATTCATAACTGTTGAACTATCAAAACCACTTGAGCAAGACTCTTGGGTGGGCCCGGCGGCGTGGCCTAGCGGCTAAAGTCCTTGCCTTGAAAGCCCCGGGATCCCATATGGGTGCTGGTTCTAATCCCAGCAGCTCCACTTCCCATCCAGCTCCCTGCTAGTGGCCTGGGAAAGCTGTGAAGGACAGCCCAAAGCTTCTGGACCCTGCACCTGTGTGGGATATCAAGAAGAAGTTCCTGGAGCCTGGCTTCAGATCGGCATAGCATCAGCCGTTGCGCTCACTTGGGGAGTGAATCATTGGATGGAAGATCTTCCTCTCTGTCTTTCCTCCTCTCTGTATATCTGACTTTCCAATAAATAAATAAATCTTTCAAAAAAAAAAAAAAAGACCCTTGGAGCATGCCCCACATCGGGGACCTGGGATGGGTGGGAGACTGGGTGGGGCTTCTCCCTTTACCTCCCCCTTTACCCCAGATATAGAAAAAAAACATGTGTGGAAATGATAGTCTTACCCACTTTCCTATAGCCCTTGACGTTCTGTGCCCTGATTAACTATGTAAAGATTGTCAAAAATAAAATTTAAAAGAATGGAAAAAAAAAGAATGGCCCTGCTCCGGACATTGTGGTTCTTTGGGAAGTGAAATGGGGGAAGGAAGATATCTCTCCCTCTCCTTCTCTCTCTATAACCCTACCTTGAAAAACAAATAAATAGTGCCAGGCACAGTGGCCTAGTAGATAAAGTCCTAGCCTTACATGCCCCTGGGTCAAACATGGGCACTGGTTCTAATCCCAGTGGCCCTGTTTCCCATCCAACTCCCTCCTTGTGGCCTGGGAAACCAGTCAAAGACAGCCCAAAGCCTTGGGACCCTGCACCCATCTGTTGTGGCTGCTTGGGGAGTGAATCATGGGACGGGAGATCTTCCTCTCTGTATATCTGACTTTACAATTAAAATAAATAAACCTTTAGATAATAATAAAATAGATAAATAAATTGTGGGGCCAGCACCACGGCACAGTAGTAGGCTAAGCCTGCACCTACAGAGGCAGCATTCCATATGGGCAACAGTTTATGTCCCTGCAGCTGCACTTCAGATTCAGCTCCTCGCTTACAGCCTAGGAAAGCAGCAGATGGCTCGTCCTTCAGCCCCTGTATCTATAAGAAGCTTCTAGTTCCTGGCTTTGTATTGGCTCAGTTCTGGCTGTTGCAACCATTTGTGGAGTAAACTAGAGAATGGAAAATCTCTCTCTCTCTCTGTAATACTGATTTTCAAATAAAAATAAATCTCTAATAAACAAATATTTAAGAATAAAAAAATTCATTAACAGAAAATTGATTAAACAAAATTTGCTTATACAGTTGCATCAATTAGATCATGGTATACTTAGTTAGTGAATTACTCTCCAACTATGAAAAGAAAATCAAAGAGCTACATGTGCAAGTATAGAAAGATTTTTCTTAAAGATTTATTTATTTTCATTGCAAATGTGGATTTACAGAGAGAAGGAGAAACAGACTGATCTTCCATCTGCTGGTACACTCCTCAAATGGCTGCAAAGGCCAGAGTGGAGCAGCCAGGACACAAACAAGAGCCTATATGGGATCCTGGTGCTTGCAGAGAGAGGATTAGCCAATTTAGACATCGCACCAGGCCCAGAAAGGTTTTTTAAGTGGCAAAATAAAAGTACAGAACAGTACTACATACTATATATATAGCTTCTATTTGTGTCCTAAAATGGATACATAAATATATTTGTATTAATTAGCAAAACATTGATGAAGAAGTAGCAATAGTAGCTAGAGAATAAGACTAGACAATAGGAATAGGTAGCAAAATTACCTTTTTACTGTGCATATACTAACTTTGCATTAAAAAGTGAAAACCAAGGGCCTGGCACCAAGGATAAATGGCTAAATCCTCACCTCACAAATGCCAGGATCCCATAGGGGCACAAGTTCGTATCCTGGCTGCTCCACTTCCCATCCAGCTCCCTGCTTGTGGCCTGGGAAAGCAGTCGAGGACTGCTTGGGACCCTGCACCCACATGGGAGACCTTGAAGAAGCTCTTGGCTTCATATCAACTCAGCTCCGGCCATTATGGCCATGTGGGGAGAGAACCAGTGAATAGAGGACCTTTCTCGCTGTCTCTCCTTCTCTCCATAAATCTGATCTGCCTTTCCAATAAAAATAAATCTTTTTTGAAAATAAATTCAATTTCTTTGTAAAAAGTAATAAGGAGAAGGCAGATACTATCCCCAGGGTGTGCCTGCCTCCCTCTACTTGTCTTGTCCAAATTCTCTCTATTCTACAATCTCAGCCAAGTCTCACTTCATCCAGGAAATCTTTCCTGATGACATCAACTGCATGATTTGGTCTAGTCTCCTCTGATTGCTGGCATTTGTATTAGTATTTCCTGACACATTATTGGTTTTTTAAAGGTTCAAAAAGCTAGGAGGATTTCAAATGCTTTCAAAACAGTGAATAATAAATGTATGAGACAGATATGCTTGCCCCCAATTTGAACATTATATAATACATGCATGAATTAAAATATCACATGGGGGCCAGCACTGTGGAACAGTAGGTTAATGAGCTGCTGTGTGCAACATCAGCAACCATTACCTAAGTGCCAGCTTACATTCCAACTTCTCCAGTCTAGCTCCTTGATAATATACCTGGGAAAATACAAGAAAATGCCTCAGGTACTTGGGCCCCTGCCACCTACATGGAATATCGTCCAGGCTCCTTGCTTTGGCCTGAGCCAGCCCTGGGTTTGTTTGTCTCTCTTTCACTTTTTCAAATAAATAATAAATCGTAATCATGTGGTACCTATAAATCATATACATTATTGTTTAATGCTTCATGCTTGTCTTAACCACCTATAGAAATTATTATGCCATGAAGATCAGGCAGAAATACAAATCACTTAATAAATGCACATTTCACTAATGGATATCCCATATATCTGTTTATTTTGTCCTGACCTACAAAATACAGAAAGAATGTCCATTATTCAAGATGGTTTACCACAACTTGCTCCTTAATATATGTGGACTCATTCTCACATCTTAATCTTTGAGAATATTCCCAATGCCCGAGAGGCAGCACGAACACCTTGGCAACAAAAAGCCTTCCTTGGGCAAAGCACAATGGCTCGATTAGTTAATCTTCCCCTTGCAAGCACCGAGATCCCATATGGGCTCTGGTTTGAGTCCTGGTTGCTCCACTTTCTATCCAGCTCCCTGCTTAGGGCTTGGAAAAGTAGCAGAAGATGGCCCAAAGCCTTGGGATCCTGCACCCATGCGGAGAACCTGGAAGAAGCTCCTGGCTCCTGACTTCTTACTGGCTCAGCTCCGGCCACTGTGGCCATTTGGGAAGTGAACCAGCAGATGGAGGATCTTTTCTCTCTCTCCTTCTCTCTGTAAACCTGACTTTCTAACAAAAAATAAATAAATCTTTTTTTAAAAGCTTGTTCATGCTTATTTACAAGCTCAAAACAGCAATGTCCAACCACAAGTATCAAAACTGACAATATTTCCAACTGACCTGTTCAGATCAGTGTACAAGTAACAAATGAAATGGGTCCTTTCCCTTTTCCTCAACTGCTTGGCAGGAAAAGTACATCCTGGGGTTCTGCTAGAGCCACATAGCCTTCTTATTTCTTTTTTACATTCATTTTTTCCTTTATTTCTTTTTTTAAGGATTTTAGTTATTTTTATTACAAAGTCAGATATACAGAGAGGAGAGACAGAAAGGAAGATCTTCCATCTGATGCCTCACTCCCCAAGTGAGAGCAACGTCCAGTGCTGTGCCAATCTGAAGCCAGGAGCCACGAACTTCCTCCAGGTCTCCCACACGGGTGCAGGATCCCAAGGCTTTTGGCCGTCCTCGACTGCTTTCCCAAGCCACAAGCCGGGAGCTGGATGGGAAGTGGAGCTGCATGGATTAGAACCGGCACCCATATGGGATCCTGGCATGTTCAAGGTGAGGATTTTAGCCACTAGGCCACCGCGTCAGGCCCACTTTTATTTTATTTCAAAGGCAGAATTAGAGACAGAAAGGTCTTCCATTCATTGCTTCACTCCCAAAATGGTCACCATAGCTGGAGCTGGGCCAGTCATAAGCCAGGAGCAAGGAGCTTCTGGGTCTCCCACACAGTACAGGGACCAAGGACTTAGGGTATCCTCTGCTGCTTTCCCAGGCCATAAAGAGGGAACTGGATCGGAAGTGGAGCAGCCAGGACACAAACCAGTGCCTTTAAGGGATGCCGATACCACAGCCTGAGGCTTTACTTATTCTACCACAGCACCAGCCCAGGCCCTCCTGTCTCATGCTCTATGGTCCATGAGTATGGGAATTATCTTTTCAGGATCCAATTCTGATGGATTGAAGCATAGTGAGATATGTGTAAAATAAGAGTTTATTTATCTAAGTCATTCCCTTAAAAATAAATGTGAAAGTAAAAATGGTGGCTTCTTCAGAAATAAATAAATAAATAAATAAACCCTTGCGACATGACTGTGGCACAGTGAGCAAAGCTGCACCAGTGACATCAGCATCCCATATGGGTGCTGGTTCATGAGCCAGTGCTCCACTTCCCATCCAGCTTGCAGCTTCCTGCTAAAAGCAGTGGAGAATGACCCAAGTGATTGTGTCCCTACTTACGTGGGAGACCCAGATGAATTTCCTGGCTCCTAGCTTTCGTTTAGCCCACTCCTGGCCATTGTGGCCATGTCTTTCTCTGAGTTTCAAAATATTTAATCTTAAAAAAGGAAGGAAGGAAGGAAAGAAAAGAAAGAAAGAAAGAAAGAGAGAAAAGGAAGCTTTGGAGAACCTTCCTCCAAAGAACTAAAGCTTTTATAGTGTAAATGTTTGTGTCCTTTGAATTATATATCATGTGTATATACTATTCAAAATAACCATTATAGAAAAAATTTGCAGAATTCTACAAGAAAAAGGGCTCTTTGGGATCATGTGATTCTAGATTTCTAACAAAATTCATTACAGGTAGGATGACTCCCCAAGTAGTAGAATCTTAACTAGCAGGCCTTCTCAGAAGCCAACGAGGGACCAAACAAAAGAAAAACAAAAGTTGAGCAGATTCTTCCAAGACCCAGCCAAACCAATCTTTGCCATTTTGCAAGACTTCCTCCTTTGACTAACAAAAATACTATTCTTTCCCCACCCCCACAGGATGGTGACAATAATGGCCTTTTATCTCAGCACCTAGTCATCTAAGGAAGAAGCTACTATATACTCAGATAGTCCCCCAGCTCCAACGTACAAACCATTCAAGGAAGCCAGGATTATGTAGTGCAGGATATGGAGAATCCTTTGGCTTTGATCAACACAACGTCAAAGGAAGGGAGAGTACAAAAACAAAGCTCAAGTCTACAGGGGAAAAAGAAACAACTGAAATATTCCATATGTATCACACGAAGCCACCATTACACCTCTCTGGAGTTTCTATTTTTGGTAGAAACAGGGGGAAAGATTCCTTTTCGAGTAAAATGAAAGAAGATAGCTTCAGAAACAGCTACCGCTTTTAGGGAAAAAAAAAGTCAGTGCCATGTTTATATCCTATACAATGCCTAGCCATCAAAGCTCATTCTGAGTCTCATGTTCCCTATAAAGCATCTCACCATCAATCATCTAAAATAATAATTTAAAATCAAGTGATTTGGGGCCAGTATTATAGTTGCTGCTCACAACACTGGCATCCTACTTGTAAAGGCCATTTTGAGTCCTGGCTACTTTACTTCTGATCCAGCTTCCTGCTAACACACCTAGGAAGGTAGCAGGTGACAATCCAGGTGCTTGGACCCCTGTCACCCATGTATTATCCTTGATCTAGCCTCAGCCACTGTAGCCATTTGAGAAGTAAACCAGTACCTGAAGGCTTTCACTATCTCTTTCTCCCTCTCTCTGTCATTCCACCTTGCAAATAAATAAACAAACAAAACTTTTCAAATAAATAAAATGTAGTAGAAAGGGCATGGACTTTGGAATCAAACAGGCCTGGGTTCAAATCCCAGCTCTGGCAGTTATAGTTATGTGCTTTGGGAAAGTTTCTCAAACGGCATTCCTCCTCGGTTTTCTAGTTGTAAAATGGAATTCCTACAATAAAATTTAAAATCTAGCTCAGTGACTGGCACCTAGTAGGCACTAGCGTTATAATTAGTGCATCTCGTTACCAGCATACCTGAAGCAGAGACCTATTTCATTCCTAATCCCTGAGGCTCTTGGGTAGGGCATTGAGACCATGTGAGCAAGACACGACAGCAGAGAGGCCTTATAACTGAACAAGTTAGGTCCAGGCTCCCTTGGGAAGCTAGGTTCTCCACCACTAACTCTGCTTTTAGCATGCTTCTATTTTGAAACACCTGAATTCCATCCTTCCCCCAAAGAGATGATTTCAAGTAAGTCTCACACAGAAAGGTATTTCTCATGTTTTGCCATTTACTTCTGTTCCTGTGGTTTGGTCTCCAGCAAACTTGGACTATGGAGATCATCATTTCTCAAATTTCAAAGCCCAGGTAAGAAATCACATTTTCTTTGCCAATTCATTTATTTATTCAAAAATGAAATCACTAAGGTCTCTAACGTTGTTCTCCAGTCTGAGAAGAAAACAAGGAAAACTAGAAAGAACGAAAGAAAAAAAAAAGGCTTTCAAACTTTCTCACCTATGACTACTTCAGTTGGAACAAAGAAGCTGCAAACCACATCCTCTACCCACACATTCCATCCTTACATTTGTGGACCAAGCACTAGAGTAAAGTCCTCTGTGGTGGACAGTGGGCGAAACCAATCCTGGGGAAGTCCTGATACATCCTGTATTAAAGTCACTACACAGATCAGGGTCAGAATCCAATAGGGGAATGCAGGACAGAAAAGACAAAGAGCCCAGAAACACCGAAATAAAAACATTCTGGAGCCTTCGCAAGATTACGGCTCAGCACGGGATGCGAGCAGCAGCTGCTAATCCACCGATGCCAGGGTAAGGCCAGGTTCCAGGGGTGACACGCAGTACCTGAGAAAACTTAAGCATAAAACATTCCTCTCCTTCACATGCCAATCCCACACAAGTGAGAGAAGCACTGTGTCTGAAGGCAACTCCTCTTATTTCTGCTCCCACAAGCTGGCTGTCTCCCTTCCAGAGTCTGGCTTCCCCTGCATCCGAGGCTGTGCTGCCCTTCATCATCCCCAAGGGAGACCTCAGGAGCAAGGAGCCCTCCCTCTTCACACTGACTTCCACAACCTAGTTCAGTTACGGGACCCGGAGGGCGACAAAACGCCTTGGCTTTCCGTCCCCCGGCCCTCTTCCCTGCCTTCCTTCTGTCACTACAATAGGGATTGTCATTTACTTGAATTGCTCACTCTAATCCTTTTCCATCCTCCCCACCCTATCCAGCCACGCTTGACTTCTTCCCTGTGTTCTCCTTCACCCCCTCCCAACCCCCATCCATATACCCCTCCAGAGTTTTCTGTGTCCTCGGGCCACAAGCGAGTCTGCAGACCTCTCTCAAAACCTACCCTGCCTCTAACCCCCAAATGACCCTTGCAGGCATCTTCTCCGCGGCAATCCGTCCCCATGGCAGCCTGCCCCCTCCCCGCCCTGTCCTCCCTCAGCTGGCTCCTCACCCCGTGACTCACCCGCATGCGAACCTCATAGGTGGTGAAGCGCGCGCGGCCCACGCCCACCGTCTGTGGATTAAAGATGTCGATCTCCAGGAAGTTACTTGGAGGCCCATAAGCATCGGTCAGGTCCTGAGGCTTCGAGTTAAGACGCCGGGTGTCAGCTACGGCTGTGTCCGACATCTTTCCGAAGGAGCGCCTGGGACTGGGGAAAGGGGGGTGGGGGACAGAAACCGGAGGCAGGAGCGCGCACGGCCCCTCCCGCTTGCAAAATAACCAGCCAACGCGCAGACGGGGGCGCCGCGCACGCGCGCCCACGCACGCACGCACGCGCACGCCGGCCGGCCCTAGGCCCTGCGCCCTGAATAGCAGCTACGCTGACGGCTGCGTTCCCTGTATGGAGGAGGCCTCATTCAGGCTTCCGGGTGCTGCCTGTGGCCGCCCCGGAACCGGCATCTCCGAGGTGCACCACCCAATATCCCGGGGAGCACCACAAGGCAGGCTCCGCCAATCGCTGCTCCTCAACTCCAAAAATTGTTTCATATGATGTATCAATCAGCGGTGGGCACGGCCCCCGCAAGCCAGGATCCTACAGCGATAGGTCGAAGCCCTGAGACCTAAAGAAGTCCTGCTTTTCCGCGAAAATAGAAGGGTGGTCTCTGGAGGGTGGGGTTCCAACAATAGTACCGAGAACCTAGAACACAACCACGCAGCTAGTTTCAATTCATGCCAGGCACCAAGTGAACACTCATCACTATTTATAGTGCCAGGAAAGCGGTGAACAACTAGGATGGGATAAACAATGATGATTTCTCATTCTCACTTTAACAAAACGACACGTATCCTCAGCCTCCACTTGTTGCTACTTAAAAAGCTAACTCGGGGTGTACTCAATATTCTATTTCTCGGCAAATTGTGAGCATTTATTTCATACGTTTATCTCTGCTCCGCAGAACTCCACACTGGGCTCTGCTCGGTGATTACTGGCGATCCATAATGGAGATAGCATGTGTGTGTACTTGAGAGCATCTACAGCAATTTACACATATCCCACAGTAAGGGGGACTAGCAGGCCATCCTCCTCCCTCCACTTGCCCTCTTCTCTTCAAAAAAAGCAAATAAACCCTCTATTACTTCTGAGGATTAAATTCTCTAAACAGAATACAAGGCCCCACAATCCCATATTTGTGTTATTTAATTCATTTGAACTGGTACCTACTAAGCAACTACTTCTATCCCAAGCTCCATGCCACCTACTGAAGACCTAGGGCTAATAAGAATACCAGCACTCCGGCAGCTAGCATTCTAGCAAGGGGGGGGGGGGGTTAGAGAATTATATACAAAGCTAATATAATATGAGATTCAAAATTAGCAAATGTGTATAACTGGAGGAATTGGGCAGACTTCCTGAAGAAGAAACATCTGAGTTTAACAGATGTGAAAAGACATACATAAATAGTGGTGAAATGGGGAAAGGCCATTTCTGAGGAAATAACATAGTCAGAGCCCTTTTTAAGAAGAAAAAAAAAAGTTTATTTCAGTTATTTGAAAGGCAGAGTGACAAAGAAGATGTGTTGTGTGTGTGTGTGAGAGAGAGAGATCTTCCCCTGTGTTGGTTTACACTTCAAATGGCCACAAAGGCCAGGGCTGGCAGAGGCTGAAACCAGAAGCCAGGAATTAGGATGTTCATCTTGGTTTCCTACTTAAACGGCAAGGACCCAAGCACTTGGTCCATTTTCTGCTGCTTTCCGAAGCACATTAGCAGGGAGCTGGATTGAAAGTGGAGTAACCAGGTCTGGAGCAGGTGCTCTGATACAAGCTGTAGGCCTTTGCAGGTGGTGGTTTAACCTGCAGTACCTGCAAAATCCTTGAGATAAGCACCAACGTGGTATTTTTAGGCAATTATCATGAGTTCCTGATGGAAGTGTTTAGAAAGGTAGGCTCGCTGGGTTGGACAGACAAGGATATGTTATTGAAACTGATCTATGTTAAGCAAAGAACCTCTTGAATTTACGGTAAGTGGCAGGGAGCCAATAAAGGATCTTAAGCATGAAAAATTTATGTTTTAGAAGAATTATTTTGCAGGCAACATAGCAGATACACTTGAGTTTACGGTGATTATGAAGATAAGATGTTGACGATTAGACTCAAAATCAGGAGTAGGCATTTGGCACAGGAATTAAGATCAGCGGGGTGGGGGGGGCAGTACAATGAATGGTTCAATGGTTCAATCCTCACCTTGTAAGCACCAGGATTCCATATGGGCACCAGCTCATGTCCCAGCTGTCCCACTTCCCATCCAGCTCCCTGCTTTTGGCCTGGGAAAGCAGTGGAAGATGGCCCAAAGCCTTCAGACCCTGCACCCACATGGGAGATGCAGAGGAATCTCCTGGCTCCTGACTTCAGATCAGCTCAGCTCCCACCATTGCGACCATTTGGGGAGTGAACCAGTGAATGGAAGACCTTTGTGTCTTTCCTTCTCTCTGTAAATCTGATCCACCTTGCCAATAAAAATAAATAAATATTTTTAAAGGGAGAGAGAAGACACAGTATATAGATTGAGAAGTATTAGAACTTTATTTGATTAGGTATATTGTGCTTAGGCTACTTACATTTCAATTGCTGCTTCCTAGCTTTGTAACTTTGTGCAAGATACACAGCTTTCCTCATGTGTAAATTGGAAATGGTAATACTAGCAGCTACCACTGAGGAGCTTTTCTGTAGGAATTTAATAAAATAAAATGTGTGCAAATAGTATTCAATAACTGTTAGTTATTATTACTGTTTGAAGGGAGAAAGAGGAAACTGAAAATGGGTCCTAGGTGTCTTATTTAGGTAACTGGATGGATGCTAGTATCACTAGACAAAATTAGAAGTACAGAGTAAGTTAGGGAGGGAAGACCACGAGTTTGGTTTAGAAAAAACTGGAATGTCTGTAGGACATCAGATGGAGAAGGTGAGAAGGCAGCTGAAAATTCTGCCTGGAGATCAAGGGTGTGGTCCGATTTGGATTAGAGAGAAATCATTGGGATCCATCAGCATACAATACAGTAAGAAAAACCAAAAAGGCAAGGAAAGATCGAGAAGTTGCTAAGGAGAAAAAGAGTGCAAATCATCCAATCCTTTTGAGAAGCAAATTGGCAGCATGTATACAAGACACTTTCACTTCAAGAAACTTGCAATACTGGTTGTCATGGGAAAGTGTGACCCTTCTTTGAGTTGTTTCTCACGTATTATTTGTAACTACGTTTGGATCTTTTTACATTTCACATGTTATTTACCAAAAAATTCTACTCAAAAATTTTACTTCCAATCATTTATCCTGGGAAAATAATCACATAAAAGTAACAATATATGGGCCCGGCGCCATGGCACAGTGCTTAAGGTCCTCGCCTTGCACGCCTGGGATCCCATATGGGCGCCGGTTCTATCCCGGCAGCCCCGCTTCCCTTCCAGCTCCCTGCTTGTGGCCCAGAAAAGCAGTCGAGGACAGCCCAAAGCTTTGGGACCCTGCACCCGCGTGGGAGACCCGGAAGAGACTCCTGGCTTCGGACCGGCATAGTATCGGCCGTTGCGCTCACCTGGGGAGTGAATCATCGGAAGGAAGATCTTCCTCTCTGTCTCTCTTCTCTGTATATCCACCTTTCCAATAAAAAATAAAATAAAAATAAATCTTAAAAGAAAGTAACAATATAAGAATCCTTAAAAGAAATACTTTTTTTTTTGGAAAGGCAATTTTTTAAAAGATTTATTGATTTTTATTGGAAAGTCAGATATACAGAGAGGAGGAGAGACAGAGAGGAAGATCTTCCATCTGATGATTCACTCCCCAAGTGAGCGCAACGACCGGTGCTGAGCCTATCTGGAGCCAGGAGCCAGGAACTTCTTCCGGGTCTCCCACATGGGTGCAGGATCCCAAAGCATTGGGCCGTCCTCAACTGTTTTCCCAGGCCACAAGCAGGGAGCAGCATGGGAAGTAAAGCTGCCGGGATTAGAACCGGCGTCAACATGGGATCCTGGAGCGTTCGTTCAAGGCGAGGACCTTAGCCGCTAGGCCACGCTGCCGGGCCCTGGAAAGGCAAATTTTTTTTTAAGATTTATTTATTTTTATTACAAAGTCAGATATACAGAGAGGAGGAGAGACAGAGAGGAAGATCTCCCATCTGATGATTCACTCCCCAAGTGAGCCGCAATGGCCAGTGCTGCGCCAATCTGAAGCCAGGAACCAGGAATGTCTTCCGGGTCTCCCACGCGGGTGCAGGGTCCTAAAGCTTTGGGCCGTCCTCGACTGCTTTCCCAGGCCACAAGCAGGGAGCAGGATGGGAAGTGGGGCCGCCAGGATTAGAACTGGTGCCCATATGGGATCCCGGGCACGCTCAAGGTGAGGACTTTAGCCACTAGGCCACGCCGCCAGGCCCGAAAGGCAAATATTTACAGAGAGAAGGAGAGACAGAGAGAAAGATCTTCCATTCACTGATTCACTCCCCTTGTGGCCGCAACAGCCAGAGTTGAGCCAGGAATCTCTTCCGGGTCTCCCATGCAGGAACAGGGTTCCAAAGCTTTGGGCCATCCTCTGCTGCTTTCCCAGGCCTTAATTAAGCAGGTTGTTGGATAGAAAGCGGAGCTGCCAGGAAACAAAGTGATACCCATGTAAGATCCCAGCACTTGGAAGTGGAGGACTAGCTGATTGAGCCATCATGCTGGGCTCAAGAATCTTTTTTTTTTTTAAAGTGTGAATTGTATGCAATATTTTGTAAGCATTTTCTCCGCATTTATATATATATATATATATATAAATCAAGGGGTAGTGAATTTCCTACTTCACATGACTTTGTATCTCAGTCATTTCCATCACAAAACTTTTATGTAAATAACCAAATTCAGGGTTCTCCTACACACTCATTTAAGATAGTGTCATAAGGTGGTAATCTGACCTAGTGGTTAAAACAGTGACTGGTATGTCTCTGTTCCAGATCAGAACACCTGCATTTAATACCTGGCTCTGGTTCCTGATTGCAGCTTCCTGCTAATGTAGACCCTGGAAGTTATCAGTGATGGCTCAAGCAGTTGAGTCCCTGTCACCCACATGGTAGACCTGGACTGAGTTCCTGGATCCTGGCTTGGGCCTCTAAGCCACTGGAGGCTTTTGAAGAGTGAACCAGCAGCTAGGCTTCTCTCTCGATGTCTCTCTTGATTTCTTTCTTCTCTCACTCTTGCTACTGCCCCCCATCCTCCCCACCAGCCTCTCAAAGAAGTAACTTGAAAATAAAGAATAAGTAAAACAAAATAATAGCCTATGCTTGTTAA